GCAGAAGGCCAGCTGAACTGCTCTTCGAAGTGTTCGGCCCATCTCTCCAGTCGACGTTGTTGTGAGTGAATTAATGAGCCATCTTCTTCATTTATCGTTTTGCTGACCGTTGCTTTTCTGGATGCGATAAACGGCGCTGTTGATGCTGTTTGTTGCCTGTAAGCTTTCTAACAGTACACGTGATCTGGAACTCCAAGATGAGCCAATGCTGTCACAATTTTGTTTTGACAATTGTTATCTGCGTCGAGAAGTTTTTTGTGGAAATGGTCGGCACTGAATAGATTATGCCGGCACGTTCAATTGTGAACGCGAACAGTCCATCTTATTTAGCTCTCCGAATATCGTTTTGAGTGTTTAAATCTCATTTGCGCTCCATGGTTACCTTAAAGTATGACGGCTGAAAAGTAAACCCGAACAAATTGGCATTGTCCACTGAAATGTCAATTGTGCCGACTGCTCCTAAGTTCAAATGTCTGTTGGACCTCGGTCAGGACGCACCACTCTTTTGGCAATGGTAATCCTGCGACCCCGATAGTCGCACAGGGGCATCGTTATCAAGGCACAGCAGTCACAAACATCTCGGGTGATATTTTGTAACATTTTGCTTATGCATAAAAAGGGTTACTGCTTGCGACCAAACTGGTCACAAGGCCAAGCACTGACGGGCCAACAACCTCGTTGGAACAGAAAATCCAGGTCAGTGGCCCCGGATTGAATGGCGATACCGAGAACTCCAGCAATATTTGGATGTTATGAGTGCGCTGCGGTTAAGTTCACCAGGTAAGTAATTAATTTTTCACCCGGTGCCGCGTTGCGTATCACATACACACAGGCGAAAGTTGGCTCTCTAAATGATAAGCTGACAAGCAATTCGATCGTAGCTGCACCTGCAAGTGAGGCAAGCTTAATTAGTGTATACGCATTTGTGCAGTGATTCACAAAAAGGGTACTGAATACTTTAATCTTCTTCATCAGTTTTTTGTGTGGCTGAGCCCACATGAACACGGAACGCGGGAGATAATCTGAACGTGATTCTGAACGCTGTCATGGGATACTGGAATGAGCCCAATGTTGTTTATACCGCTGATTTTGGAGTATATGCAAAGACAAATGCAGTGCTTTATTCATCAATTATAGTCCCGCCTAGTGTTGAACCGAAAATGCCGTCCCGTATGCAGTCTTTCCAACTCCTAGCATCGAACCCGAGCAGCCGGAATTTAAAGGCGACCCACATTTGGTAGGCTGCTCCTACTGGGCAGACGATGTCATTCCTTCATGGAAAACGAACTGTTCTTTAGCGGTTTAGCTGATTACTAGGGTACCCCGGCGCGGTCATAGATGATCGCCAGTATCTAGACTACTCGCCTAGTCATGTTTTCGTTAAGGTGAACCGTGGTACAGGTGTGGATTTCCTACTCAGATGCCCACATTTAAGCCCATCGTATCTTTTTCAACCGGAAGAGGTTCCCATGGTTGATCGATCAACGCAGTGCTTCCTTAGTCAATTCCATTAATGGGGGTTCTTGAAGTAAACGCCGGAATACGGCTTGACTAGACGCTATTGCTGAAATTCGTTAGATGAGTTCAGAATTCTGTTGCGGCCTGAACGTTTTTCCGGGGCCCAAATCCCACAAATCTCTCCATGATTGGCAGAACGGCATCATCCTGCATGAGTTTTGGCTCCAAGTGACCACCAATGTGGCAAAAGTAAGGAGAAAACTTTAGATATACATTCGGCCGTCAGTGATTTCCAGGAAAAGGATCCGCATGCCTGTGACAGACGGTAAAACGCTGCTCACCACTCTCATCTCTGAAGGGATTCCGGTCAACACCGTAAAATAACCTCATTGCTAGTGCACAATAACTGCTGGTCAAAAGTTCACCATCGCACGCGCTGCACCGGAGAATGCTAGACAAATGGACTCTCCTTCTTGTTTAGTCGGCTCCTGTAGCACACGATCAAAAGACGCTTCAATCGCCACAGTCATTGTGGAACCAGATACCAGTGTCATTGTATAGTATGCATTCGTGGGTTGCCAGTGGTGTTAAATATGGTTCGGAAAGCCATTGATCGCGACAGCACACTGTGGCAGATAATAAAGTACTATCAAACCCTCCAAACGTCACACTCGTCACCGGAAATTGCACAGATTTTCCGTCGACAAGTCTGTTATTCATGGGAGTCTTATGTACGAGTGGTGTCGCCACACAAGAAGACGTGGGGAAAAGGTTATAACCCAGTTTCGTCTATGAATTTATCAAATTATTCGAAAGAAATCCTTTGACTTGACCACCGCCACTGGCCCGTTAAGGCCAACAATTATAGTGGACGCATGAGTGATTTTCTCTGTGTATCCGCACAGAAGTTACCGGGTCAACGTTATCAGGCTTGGCCATGTAGCTTGACTATTTTGCCTAATTAATCTTCGCCCCCTTCGCCTTTTCATCATGCGGTTCGACAACGTGACGTGTGCTGTTTCGTTTGGGATTCGTTGGCATGTATTCCCCATAAAGTGGCCTCTCATTCCCGGTCCTCATAATGTCGGTTTTCTACATCTCCCATGCATCCTTTCTCTTCTTGTCTTCTTTCTTTTCGGTGGATTTGCATACTTTTTCATCTAAACCCGCTAAGTCGTCGGCGATCGTTCGTTTGTTGCTTCGTGGCTCATGGTTTTGTGGCGGAATTCTTGTTTGGTGACTGGTATTGTCGAACGCGTGGTGGCGTATGCTAAAATTTACATGTCTGTTGACACTTTCGAACGAGTTGATGTTTACTGGCGCTTCTGGGGACTGTATCCTAGACCAAAATGGTAGTAGATTCATTTTTCTTGGAGGAACACACTGCTCATGGGTTTAGTGGAAACGTTTCGACAGCACACTACCGGTTTCGCACTACTTGGCGCTCCACAAGGAGACCTATTCCCCGAGTTCCTGCCAACCTAATGGTCGATTGAAGAGGAACTCTTACTCTTACGGTCACTTTATTAGCGCGCATCATTCAGTTCTTCGTTCAATCCCCTCATTGGACGTTGGACAGTGTTGTGTGTTCTGTGTGTGTGTTGTACTCCACATACTGACCCAGCAGGCCCACTTGTAGACTTTGAACTAATGGTGATCGTAATAGCTGAATAGAGAAAATAATGATAATGACGATCGTTTAACTGTTACTCCCTTTCGGTGTCTAAATGTCATGTTGGCCGGACCAAGCACGAGGGCTGGGATACTGCCGGGTTGCACAAGCCTTGACAGAATCTGAACGAAGGAACCATCGGCTGATTTAGTTACAGTGTATAACAGGATGTCAGGCAGCACGTGATGTCCTCCGTCTTGAACTAGATATCTCGTTTAGTGTCTGGAACATCATAGGTTAAGTCTCGTAACAGCTGGCAGTCATTTCATATTGTTCCTCGTCGAGACGGACGCTATTTCGATATCATAAACGAGGAAGTCTAAGAGTGATGCGGACTCCTGTGCGGGGGGGCTGCCTCTCAACTATACACATGCTTCTACTGACAAGGTTGTCCACGCCCCACGAAGGCTGTTTTCCGAGTAGCTCAGTTTTTTCTGGCCACTAACTACATTAGTTCCACTGAGGTGCGTAAATTGCTCGTGCACTCCTACCAGCTCAACACGGATTTCTCCCAAACCGTTCTTGCGTAACAAACATGCTCGTGTTTATGGACAGCTTAACCCAAGCCAAGGACGAAGGACTCATATCGGATGCCATATTTTTCGACTTCTCAAAAGCATTTGATAGGGTCCCACACGTCCCGCTGCTCCACAAACTCGAGTCTTACGGGATTCAAGGGAAAATCCATCGCTGGATCAAGGCGTTCCTATCAGACAGATCATTCCGAGTGAGAATAGGCTCGACCTACTCCTCTCCAGCGCCGGTCTCCATTGGAGTTCCTCAAGGCTCCGTCTTGGGACCACTCCTGTTTCTGATCTACGTCAACGACCTCCCAGACGTTCTTGCGAGTCCATGTTTACTTTTTGCGGACGACTTGAAATCCTGGAGTTCCAATGCCAGTGCCCTCCAAATGGATGTAGACGCTGCCAAGCAGTGGTCGTTGGACTGGCACCTTCCTCTGAATGATGAAAAGTGCGTCCATGTGTCGTTTGGAGGGGATTCAGCGAATGCCTTTGTTATGCATGGTGAAAAGGGACCAGAAAACATCATGAGGATAGATGCCAAAAAAGATTTAGGCATCTGGGTCTCCTCAAACTTGTCCTTCGCACTACACCATGAGAAATCGGCCCAAAAGGCATTCGCCGTTTTACGGATGATCCGACGTACCTTCTCCCGTATTACTCGCATGGACTTCCAAATACTCTATGGGGCCTACGTCAGACCGCTCCTGGAGTACGCCAACCAAGTTGTCTACTCAGGACGTACGAAAGACGTTACCCTCATTGAGCGTGTCCAGCGGGCCGCCACGAGAATGGTTGCCGGCCTCAAGTCCGTGGACTACGAAACGCGTCTCGCGACGCTTGATCTCTTTCCCCTGGAGTACCGTCGCCTCCGAGGGGACCTAATTCTTACTTACGCCCTGTTTGAACAAAGCTTGGCAAACAGGTTTTTTACCGTTGACCCAGCAAACACCCGGCGGGGACATAGTAAGAAAATCTTCAAGCTCAGGGCACACACATCCGTTAGACAAAACTTTTTTTCATTTCGGGTAGTAGCTGCGTGGAATGACCTTCCTCCGACGGTTGTACACGCTCCTTCTCGAACCCAATTTAAAGCACTATTAGACATTTATTTATGCGAATCCTCGCGCTGGCGAGCATACTGCCCCGCGCTGAGAACATAAAGAGCAGTGCTACACCCTTTTTTCACTTGTGCCTTTCAGGTGAACGACGGCCGCTGAACGAAAAGAACAAAACGGACCCGGGAAACTTGGGCAAAAGCCTCGATCCTGTGTATCAATCCGTGAATCCGTGAATACCAGTTACGTTTCTCTTCGCCCCTTTTTTCATTGACTCGTGGTGTTTGGCCATGTTTTCCGGTCCCGATTTTTAAGATGAGATACTGGGATTACTGTTTTCACAGTAGCTGTCAGAGTAATCTCCTTTTCGTATCAGTGAATCCGTGATTCCATACTGCCTCTGTCAGTGAGTGGTTGCGGTTCCAACGAGCTGATTGGCTGAGCCCGTGATTCACTGCAGGCCAGACGCTAATGTCTGTCGTGCATTGCGGCGGAATGATACACAAGATCGAGGCATTTTTCCAAGTTTCCCGTTTCGGTTTGGTTCTTGTCTTTCAGCGGCTGTCGTTCACTCAAAATGCACAAGTGCAAAAAGGGTGTAGCTTGTCTCTTCATGTCCTCAGCGCGGAGCAGCATGCATGCCAGCGCGAAGATTTGCATAAGTAAGTGTCCAATAGTGCTATTAACTGGGTTCAAGAAGAAGCGTGGATAACCGTCGGATGGAGGTGATTCAACGCAGCCCCTACCCGAAATGATACAAAGTTTTGCCTAATGAATTTGTGCGCTCTGAGCTTGAAAATCTCACCATGCCCCTGCCGCGCGCTTGTTGGGTCAATGGTGAAAAACCTGTTGGCCGAGCATTGTTCGAACAAGGCGTAAGTAAGAATTAGGTCCCATCAGAGGCGACGATACTCCACGGGAGAGGTCAAGCATCACGAGACGTTTCGTAGCCCACGGATTTGAGGCGGGTAACCATTCTCGTAGCGGCTCGCTGGACACGCTGTGGTCCGCTAATAAACGGTCTGTTTTCACCGGCTTTCGTTCTATATATGGGACGTTAAAGGCCAGAACCGAAGAAAACGTAGACGAGTATATATATCGGATTCTCCGGTCCGACCAACCAGTACAGTATTCCTGTCGCCGTCTATAAATTCAGCAAATGACTGGATTAGGAGACGAGTATACTGCAAATCACGAACTTGCGGCATCTTGTTCTAGCTCTTGAACTCCTGGGAAAAATACATCTGGTATTCAGTCAGTTGCTGTGTCAGAAGTTTGCAGATCTTGTCGATCGACAAGTGATATCCTCACCCTTCCAACCACAGCCTACCGAGCAATCTGAGAAATGAATGGATGCAGAATTCCCAGGTTCATCCTCAGCGTACTCTCGAGGTATCCTTAGGGTTGGGGCATGTATCATTCATACTCAACACCGTCCACCAAAGAAAACACATTTTCGTCCCAAAAACATTCTGAGTCATTTGAGGAAAGAATCCGTGACATGGGGGCAAGAAATGATCGTTTTTAGCGTACGCGCTGTACAATGGTTACATCCGTCGTAGTTTTTTTTACGGTACTCTGTGATGATTGGGGTGAATGGCTGTACATTGAACTTCTACATTCGGTGCCCAACTTCTGAAATGACCATGGAATCTTTGTTCGGTAGAGCTGCAGGGGAAGACATGAATTATAGATCACAAATTGAATGCACGTTTTCGACTGGACCATGTTTGTCGTTTTTGTGTTCCATCTCGAGGTTTCTACCCAGCGAGGTGGTTATAACCAACCCAACTAGGTTTGCTGTTATTGGTTTTCACACTTTACCGACAAGGCATTACTTGACCTCCTCTGGCTTTTTGACACCGCGTAGCTGTGCGAAAAAAGCTATTCAAAGAAGTTGAAGAAGCTTACCTATAAATTATTTAGTCGAGCCAGCACAACCTACGGAGTGAGATTAGCTCACCTCTCTCGGTTGAATTGTTCCCTCCATAAACCATCCGACGTACTTCTGCACCACTAATACAGTGTCCCCATCAATACCATGCAGTGCCTCAAAGCATCGACAGTCAAACGCTGAAAGCTCTTTAACATTATCAATTCGCAAAGACCAAGTTTCTGACCCATGTGACAGCCTGGAGCGTGCCACAGCACTGAAAAATCAGCTGGCAGACAAGCTGATGTCCCGATTACACCACAGATAATACGGGCTGAAAAGCTGCTTTTGGCCTTTCGAATTCCGATGGAAATGTAGCCAGACCACCGGGACTGAAAGCTATCTAGGTAGGCGAATTTGTCTACTTATTCTACTGCCTCTGTACTAGCATATCCACAGGCACGGGGTTATGATTTGATTCTAACCAGTCCTTCCATTGAAGAATGTGTCCAGCACCAGAAGCTGCGTTGGTTGGGACATGTGTTACGTATGCCGAACCATCGTTTGCCGAAAAGAGTGGTTTTCCGTGCCCAATTCAGAGTGGCGTAAACAGAGAGGTGGCCAACCCTTGACTTGGCAGAGGAGTATGAAGGAGATCACCAAACGCTTGGGTGCTGTCGTTGCTACTCGCCTTCCAGGATGGGGACCGCGTGATCCTCACTGTGTCTGGTTGGAGACACTACAAGTTACAGCTGCCAACCGATGTCAGTGGCGTTCTTGTTGTCAGTTTCTATCCAGATTGCCTAAGTGAATGTCTGGAGGTGTAGGCACCTCGGAATGATTGTGTTAAGCTAGCACTAAGTCCCTCCCCCATCCACCTTTATTCTTTTCTTTACAATAAGGCTTTCAAATAAGTCATGGTTGTACGGCAGTGAAGCATCGGTGTTGAACTGTCATGTCATGCCGTCGATGATGATGATGATGATGACTAACCAGTCCTGCAACAGTACTCTGCACTTACCAGATGTGAAGTGCATTCTGAATGGTGAGGCAAAGTTATTTAAGTTATTCAACATCGTATACATCACATCACATCCAAGAAGAGCTATGTCGCCCGTGTACTCCCGTGAATCATGTCGACCCTTTGAATATTAGAGGATGGAAGTGTGTCTCCCGTAACGATATCCTTGACGAAAAAACGTGAAAGAGGATAATCTTGCCTGGCACCACTGGATGTAGTA